AACAATACAAAATATTTATATAGGTTCTTAAATTACTTGAATTTTTAATTTACTAATTTCATTCACTTTTACCAACGGATATAATTTCATTATATCTTAATTATATATTATAACGAACATAGATAGTTTTTCAATTCTATATCTAATATAGAATTGCTTTATTTAAAAAAACAATTTCTTTCTCTAATTCTTTATGAACGTGACAAAATTTTTTACATGTTATTTTCAAAATTCTTACATTCAAATAGATTATAGATATATATAATTTATAATATACTTTGTTTTTTTAAACTCTAGAAGAATTAACCCTTATTAATATACAAAATTTCACCAAACCTTATATCAATTATCATATTTTATCAAAGAACTTAATAAAAAAAAATAATTATTTTACCACAGCAAGCGAGTAAAGTAATCTATATTGATTTTAATTGTAATTTAAGTTATGCAACTAAACGAAGTTTGTAAACTCATGATATCAAAATAACGAATGATTTGAAATTGACCAATTCTATGTTAACCAATATTGAACAAATATAACAAAGTATGTTAACTACTATTTATGTATGTCAATCATATATAATTTCAACAATTAAATAATTGATATAAATTTCCTATACGTGATGAATTCTTTATTGCGAACTCAAATTCAGTCTTTGTAAAAGATCTAATCTGTTGAATACAATTTTAGTCAGACATCAAGCAATACGAAACTGGAAAATTTACTTTAAATATTCTTCTTTAAATTTTCCATCAACCTAAAGTTGTGTTGTAATAACAATAAAAATGTTATAAATTAAAAATTTGATAGATTATATTAATATTGAAACTGAATGATTTTAAACATAATCTGCAATAGATAAAGAAAAAGGTTAATGACAGTTATTATTTATATTGACCAATCCTAAAATTTTTTACATTAATTTTATTTTGAGTGATCAAATTACTCGTAATTGTTATATAATTATTATTAAATTGTCGAGAAAATATATTTATATAACTTTAGTTTGCAAATATATGTTTTCATTATTGTATTTGATTATATTTAAAAAAAGTATCAACTTTTCAAAATCATTAAACAGTATATATCTTGAATATATAGAATATCGTCCATAATATCATCTTTCTCTCTCTCTCTCTCTCTCTCTCTCTCTCTCTCTCTCTCTCTCTCTTTCTATATATATATATATATATATATATATACATTTTTTTACTCGTTTAAATATTTAACTGCATCTATGATATTCTTATCTGTAGTTCAATATTTTAGTTCCTTATTTACAATTGTCTAAAATAAAATATTTGTAAAATAAATATATCAAAACCTATCCTCTAAACGGATTCATTTGCTGCATTCAGATTTGGCTTTTAACTGAACTTATGAAGCGGTGACAAGATCTATATCCGTTAAAAAAATTTTATATTATAATCATGGTCCAACCGTCATTAGAGAAATTAATTTTGATTACAACTAGTAAAGAAGTTGAAAACAATCGTAAACTGTGTGCATTAATTTTTTCAATAATTCCCCTAATTTTATAATCATTCCATAATACTTAGAATTCCGTTTCATGTCTATCCCTTCTCGTAATACTTAACGATTTTGTGAATTATTTTTTACGTACATTCGAATCATCGATAATTTTTTATGCAAACTTTGATTACTTATCTAACAATTATTCATTGTATTAGCATTAGCTTTTAAAGGATAATTTTCTAAATTATGAGTCTTTAGTAAATTTATTACTAGAACTACATATTTATTGAATTATTATATGCTTTTATTTTTCGTAAAATACATAAAATTTCATTATAGTATCATTCTAAATCATCTATTAATTCAGCTTTACTTAAATAATTAATAGTATTTATTTTTATGTCCAAATTTATAATTGAATCGTTAAGTATAGAATCACAAATCTTTTATAGGATGTATTTCAATACACGAATTTTAAATTACAAATATCATGAATTTATATACTTGACATAAATCATGTAACACAATAGAGTGTTATCTGCTATTCATAATTCTTATATGCATAAGTGAAGTTTCCATTATTCAAAATATAAATAACTAGACTATGGGAAAAAATAAATTACATGAGGTTTTTAAACGTTTCATCCAAACTTTAATTTTTACAACCAATACATATATTTCTATTATCAATTTATCTCCGATAAAACAAAATTTTCATAATAAGATTATATTTTTAATATAATATATATGCATTTAAAAAATACTGTCGTGCGCATATTTTGAATAATATAGCTATTTGTATGTGCTTATAAAACTGTATATTAGTAAATGAGGTCTTTACATAGATTTTAATCTTAAATAAAAATAAAATATTATTCTTAAAGAACGACTTAAATAAAATAAATAACGTGCATTAAATATTAAAACATTTTTACTCTCGTTACGAACAATTAATTTCATTGGAAAAAATGTTTTTAATTACCCAAAACATCGCTCGTTCATAGACCGACTAAAAAAGTAAAAAAATTAAATTACTTTCAAATATTTAAAAGTTGAATGATGGAACCGAGTACAGAGTATTCAATGATAAAAAAGGATACACGTAAAAATTGACGTCGAGTTTGGAAGTCTAGACCGGAATCGTCTATTGGAAAGTCCACCACTTTTATTATCGAGCGTAATCTCATAAACTCCATAGAGTTGCACCTCTAGAGAGCAAGGATGAACTTGCCGCTCAAATGAAATACGGAAGAAGAAAGCAGAAAAGTCGTGGAACAGGAAATCTGGGAATGATCTCGCGGTTGCACACCTGTCCCCTTACCGATCTTAGAAATAGCTTCTCGTTACAATATACAGTTATTCGCATTCAAAGAAGGAAACTAAGCTATAAACTTACATGTGATGTCTATAAAAACAAAAGTTAAAGAAAAGAATAAAATATAGTTAAAAAATTTTATCGAGATCCTATAGTACTCTTCCAGAAATCTTCAAAATCTGACGTGGAAGAATGTGAAATCAGTCTTTCAATAATTCCTACTTTACAATATCCATCATTCATTAATTTTAATTTCATTAAAATGATTGCATTATGTAGATAAAAAGTAATACATTCTTCAAGATTCCGATTATTTTTATAGCCATTTTCATGATTTTGCTTCTCTCAAATTAACTGCTCAATATTCTAATTTTATTAAAGATAATATATATAAATAATTTAATATTATTTTTAAGGTTTGTTTTATATGCATACAATCATACATAATAATATAGCACACTTTAAGAACACATTACAAAAAATTTTTTTAATAATTCTTTTAATTTTTAAATACTGATCTTTATTTGATTTAATTGTAATAGGTTTGTAAAATATGTGATACAATAATACAACAAAAAATTATTGTGATGCAATAATACCATCATATTTTTTATTAATTTATAATCTTAAATTAGATAAATTAATATCTTTTTAATTATATATATTAATGGGTCAGAATAATAAAAAGAACAATGCCTCTTTAATGAAAATATAATGTTTGATTGTTTGTTTGAAATATAATATAACAAAATTCCATTCATTCTAGTATATTGATAATAAAAGTAAAGTATAATATTAATATATATGTTCCATGCAGTATGCTAATATTCTCATTATACTTAAAATTAAGTCAATAAATTAAAATTAAAATTAAATTAAGTTAAAAAATTAATTTTAATTATAAATAAAATAAATTTAATGTGAATAGAAAAATTTCCCATAAAATTGAGGAAGATAATTATAAATTAAAAAATGTATACTCATAGTATGTATAGAATAGGTACAGAAATAATTTATTGAAAACCCAAAATACGATGAATAAAAATTAAAACACTTTTGTTATGTATGCATTAAGATTTTAATCTGCATTATATCTTCCTAATAATTTTGTTATTTTCTGGGTCAGCATTCTGGCACTATCAGTAATTAGATTTTAAATTTCTTACTAATTCTTATAGATTTCATAAATTGTGTTTTAGACAGTAAGTTGATTAATATTATCTCAAACAAACTCATATAATAGATCAAGATATTACCCGATTAAAGTTGTAAGTCCTAAGTATAAATAAAACTCTGAAAAAGATTTGTAAGATAGTTGCTTTCATTTTTATCCATTCTATCTTTAATATTTCGAACAAAAATGTACAAATAGAATAAAAAATTGTGAAAATTTAAATAAATGTAATTTTATGAAAAGCAGTTTTTTATTAGAAATAAAATAGATATATTCCTTTTAAATAAGAAAAATGATTTCTTTTCTAGTATATAAATTATTATATAGTTTGAATAGTATGATATTTAGAGAAATATTTCACGAAGAATACATGTCGGTTATTACACATGTAAGTTTATGACATTAAGTTGTTATAACTGCTTAGAATTTTATTTATAAAATTAGACATAAATATCTAACAAATACAATTTAATAAATAATTAAAACTACAGTAAATGGAAATTTTGTCTATTTATAAATATACACAAACATATAGTTGATTTTATAAAAATAATACTTTATTTATACTTGTAATTTTTCCTGTGAAAAATGAATTCATACATTCGTTTATAAATTTTTCTTAAACATATTTTTGTTATATATATATATATATATATATATAGGGTTCAAATTCTATAAGCTTTATTTCATAAATGTTGTTTTGTTCTTTTATTAATCGAAATTTCAAACCAGATATTATTGTAAATGAAAGAAGAAATCGTATTTCTCATCAATTATGACTATTTGAAGAAGGTCATTAAAATTTTTAAATTTTTAAATAAGGTAATAATATAATAAATCATTTAATAATTCTAAAAGTTTTTTACATATATATATGATATTTGACTTGAATGAAATTCCATAATACTTAAATAGATGTATGAAACTATTAACTCTAATTTATACTTAAATAAATTGTAGATGGTATTTTATATAACTCAGTAGTTTATAAAGGAAAAGCTAAAGAAAAATTTTATTTCCTGTTCTATTTCCAGGGTTGATGTCCGCGGTAAACCTCTCACAGAGGCAAGGCACCAGTCTACTCTCTTTGGACAAAGAGCCTACTTTCGTACATCTATTCAAGAACCGGCAGTGCTAGTATTAGACGATATCAAGAGACACGATGCCGCAATTTATAGATGTAGAGTGGATTTCCATCGGGGACAGTCCAGGAGCGTTCGGTATAATCTAACTGTTATTGGTAAGAGTACTTGTGAATTTATTATACTATTTATGTTCTTCATAATTAATAGTATTAATGCATATAAATTAAATTTTTTATGTGATATTGAAAAAATGAATACAGCATTACAAAATGAATGAAATACTATAAGAGTATATGATCATTAAATTTGCTATTGAATCGAACGAAAGAGAATCAAATTTTTATTATACTATCAGAAATATAGACTAAAGTATTATTTAATATTTTGTCCTGTAGAGATAAAATCTTATATGGTTTCATTTTAAACCAAAGAACAAAAATGTTTAAAAACATTCGGAAACCAATCGGTAAAACCGGTTAAATACCCACCATAATATAAAAATCAATAAATGGTAATAAATCTTTCGAATCCTTCGAAAGTATAAAGATAATTATAGGTAAATAAGACAAGAAGAGCAATAAAAGATAATAAATAGAAAAATAAGAAGTCCAAACATAATTAAAGTCGAAGAAAGAGAGATAAAGAAATGAGTGAGAGGGAATGAAAAAAGAGGAAATGAATGAAAGAAAGAATGGATATAAATAAAATGTTGACTTACTCTAGTTAATGATGTTTTATATAACTTAATAAAATATAATCTAAAGAATTGTATATCTGAAGCTATAAGACCAAAATTGTTGTACATATTGTGACTAACTTTAAAATCAACATATTTTTAATTTTCAGTGTAAAACAATGTAATTATGAAAAACATTATACTTTATGTAGATCAATATAATAGCCTCAGATTCAGTTTGAGTATAAGAACATAACAATAGTCAAAGATAACTCTCATTTTAAAACGTATCAAGCCTAATATAATTCTTTAATTCAATAGTGAATTAAAGTAAGAGGCATATCTTATATTCATTATATATATTAGACCCATATAACTTACAAGTAGCTAAATTCTCAAAAAAAAGCGAAAATATTTTAGCGTGGTTTTCTAATTTAAATAGATATTTAAATCAGATATGAAAATAATTCAGAATAACATTTTATATTTTCTAAATTATACTTAAGTATTTTGTGGTTTTTATAAAAAAATAACTCAGCTTTGAATTTCTTTTGAACTTTGAACTCACTATGAATTATGTATAAATTTTTTGAACATAATATATAATATTATTAATATTTTTAATATTAATAGATAATATTAATAAATTATGAATTGAATACATAATTTTCACTTACTATTAACATTCATTGACATAAAAGCCTTTCTCAAAAGTATTATTTTGTTACGAGTTTTTTTCAGACCAATAGCTTATTATCTAAAAAATTGAAAATATTCTAACTCATTTAAATTATTAATATTTAGCATCATATATTTATAATTTTCTTGAATTAATTTATATGTGCTAAATATAATTTTATAATAATTATAGAACAAATTAAAATGTTACTGAATTGAATTATTAAAATCATTGAAGTTTATTAGTATTGTATATTTAATAGTTCACATATGATTATTTTAAGTAATGTAAACTATCAAATCTACGAAGTACTTATACTATTAATTATATTAAATATATTATAAGATATGATATTAAGTAATGAAAAATTTTTATCCTAACGATAAATGAAATAAGATTGTAAACAACTCAATTAAATATTAAAACGATTTTATTATAACAAATTATTATAATAATTATTATAACAAATTGAATTATTATAATTTTTCATAATGCTAAAGAATTTGATAATTCGAGATTTTTAATACAATATATTATGTGTCGATTATAATACAGTGTTCCTCCACAGTAAGTAAAGCAATAGCAGCCTGTTATTGTTCGATAAACCGTTGTATACTGACTAAATGTAGACATATGCTGCTCTTATAGTGAAGTTAAGAAAATACTAGGTGAATCATCCTCAATATCTTAGCCACTACCCGAGAACTAATATTTCATCATTATCGATAGTACAAGTTGATCAAGAGAAGCATATGAAAACTCAGCTAGAGATGAAGAAAAAAAACAAGCAAAGAGTCATATGAATTTATAGACATATAAATCCAAAGTTGAGCTCTTCAGAATCTCTAGTATTCCACGACCACTTTAGACACTCGCTATTTCATTCTTATTCTTTCTTTTCACTCGCACATTAGACGTTTACATACTTCTATAAATCAAGAGACTTTGTCTAGGTAGCCCGTGCATTGATAGATATTTTCTCGGCCTTTCTTTCAACAAGGCTAACACTATTATAAATTACTCTCAATTGAAATGAAGCGATCGTGACTGCCTCTTTTAGGGGTGGGAGCGATTAGGATTAATTATTTAAAATTGATTCTGATCATAAGATAAGATTTTTATATGTCTGAAACCAAATATTTTAAACTAAAAAATGAAGAATTTTAGAATGATTTTTCGTAAAAATTTATATATGTATGTATTTTATAAATAAATGTAAACATATATTCATAAAATGGAAATATACTAATTAATTTAACTACAATTCATTTCCTGACAATTAATAGTTTAAACAATTAATAGTAGTTATGGTTTAATATAAATGAATAATTTATAAATTGCATAATTCAAAGAAGCCTTTGAATAATAAAAATCATATATATATATATATATATATATATATATATATTAAAAATTATAGATTTATTAGTTATTGTTTTACTTATTAATTATCCAATTATTCTTAGAATAAATAAATATTAAAAGTGATTATAGACTAAAGATAACTTCCATTTTACATTAACTTTGATTATTATTTTTTTTAATTATTAAAATTTCAAAATAAATTTAGTAATAAATTTTAAAAACATATCTATTTAATAAATGCAGTTTTCTTATATAATATGTAATAAAATAAAAATTTGTCTTTTCCATAGAATATAAATGTCAACGCTATCGTAGTGTAACAAACGAATACATTAATTAACATTTATTCTCTAAATACAAATATTTTCATTTATCATATAGTTATATAGTTCAAATTAATGTGAAATTAACTGAAATTTGTAGTATAAAAATATTATTTTTATGTTATATTCTATCCAAGAAATATTTAAACTTTACTCATAAAAATACTCTTATAAGCTTAAAATTTTAACGAGAGCAAAGTGTCCGAAGTTTTAAAATATTTTTTCAAGCAAAATATTTTAGTTTTTGTTAATGAGTTTTTCAATACTTGATAAAAAACACTTTTAATTATTTTTCTACATTTAAAGCCTTCAAACTAATTACAAAGAAGTAGATCTAGAAATAACTATGGTTTTACATTTAATTTTAGTGTTTTACTATTTTATCAATGCAGTTAAAAATAATACAATTTATTATTATATAGCAATTTTGATGAGCGTATTTTTATTTTTTAAATTAAAGTTTTAAATTTATACATCGTCGCTTGATTTTACTGGAAACAATATAAAGCATTTTTTGTTAACATATATTTTTAATGAATATATTAACTTTAAACAGACAAAAAAAGCATAAAAAACTATTTATAATAATAAAAATTAACATTTCTTACAAGACAGCTAGTAAAATTATTATTTTAAAAGTAATATTATGTACAAATAAATACCATTAAATAATGATTATGATTATCATATAATACATAAAATACTATATAAAATACAGAATACATATTATATTTACTAAAGATAAAATTTATGGTAAGATTGTTCTTTGTAAAGGAAACATTCTCAATTTCATATGAATAATGGGACTTATGGAACACCTACGTAATTTCCATGTGCTTTCATTTTCTCATCTTTCTTTATATATTTGTATTCATGTTATTGTATCGTAAAATATTATTAATAATTTTTAATAACGTATTTTATAACTCTATATATAATTTTTATATTAAATTTTATAATCAAAATTTAGTAACAGATTAATATTTAGATTTAATTGAAAATAAAATATTCTGTGAAACTGAAATATAATATTAGTGGAGTGCTAAATTTTTTATGGATTATACTTCATTTACTAAATATTTAGTTTGTTGTATTCCCCAATATCTGAATTTTATATTATAATTTAAGTTATATCAAAAGTATAATAGATAAAGTCGAATATTGTAATTTATAATGCATACTTTAAAAAATACTAAAAATCAGACGACTTTGATCTGCATATTCTACATATAAAATAGAAATTCAAACATACTGCCTCATATATGAACTTTTAAACGAACTTATTTTCCGTTAACAAGGTTGAAACTAGTCCACGGAAAGTTCACTAGGAATTTCTGTCTAAAAACTTTGGGTCTCGAATACCAGTAACACAAACTACCATTACAGTTATTATGAACTTCAATGCCAAAGGTGATAACAGTAGCTCGATTTGATATACTTGAATTTCACTCTCATTTTGCTCCAACCTAAATACGAACAAAATTAGTAAATTGCTATACATTATACTTTTTACCGTAGTCTTTCATGCATTGCAGCAACTAACAAGTCGAGTATTCCATCGACCATCGCATTCATTAGTTCGTAGTTTTGTGTTCGCTAAAGTAAATACTGCATCGTTGCCGACGCCTATGTTGCTGCCTTTCAAGGCGTGATAAAGTGTCCGGAGTAACTACGGGAATTATTTCAAGTAGATGGGTTCCCTTCTTGGGATTTGCTGAAGAAGCTAGAAGCTCGTCGTCGTAGTTGGTGGCGGCAACGTCGCAGCGCCCTTCTTAACCCTCGAAATTAACTGCTCGCGTGCCGTTACGCCCGTTTTGTGTGCACGCGGGTTAAAGCGGGATAAATTTATGATGAATATAATGGTACCGGCAATACCCCAACGATAGTTTAGAATTACCCAAGATTGGAAACTAATTTGTATAATAAATATTTCTTTATTGAATTGTCATGTATTTAAAGTGTATATTTTTCTAGAATAAAAGACTGAACATTTTTAGACTCACAAGAGAAGCTTGCCCAAATATTGAGTAAAATTACTAAGTAATTTTTATAAACTTAGGACCTGGAACTCTAAAGTACCTTTAAGAGTCCATTAATCTGCCCTAATTAATT